TATATATATATATATATATATATATATATATATAAATAAATAATAGCAGCATGAGCAGATTAAGACATCTTTGACTCTTAAAAATATATTTAATGAAAAATCAAGCTTCATACCCAAGTGAAATATCAGGGCAAGAGGGGTGGCTGGTCATGTGACTAAGGCACCTGACAGTCATCCCAATGGCTTTGAAGGCTTCATCCAGTCAGGAAGTTCAGCCATAGCCCTTCTGCCAGTATCTGGTGACATGGGGCTGTGGTGGACACTTGGGCTGATTGCTACCTGCCAGGCAATAGGGAGCTCCAAACTCAGGCCTCCTGTATTTGTCCTCTACTTAATTTGTCCTCTACTTAGTACAGCAGGACAGGACCTGGCAGAGCTTACTTGGAGAAGGCAAGAAAAGCCACAGCAGCAACACTAAGGAGAGCAAAAAAGATGCCCCTCTCCTGCCTGTCTCCTCAGAAGAGCAGCAAGCTCACACTCTAGCTTGTTACAGAGGACTGGGTCCAGCCCTGTCTGCAGTACTGTGGGGCAGGTAAAGCACTTCAGTGCTCAGCAAGCAACGTCTCTGAAGGTGGCGGTGACTCCCAGGTTCTGCTGGGCACTGCACACCACAATTTTGGCCTCGGTTTCATGGTTAGCTGGGCAAGGGCCCTGCCATGAAGAGAAGCTGCCCTCGGGTAAGCAGGAAAAGCCCTGACCCAGCCAGGGAAAGCAGAGGAAGTCCACAGCCACCTCTTCTGCTCATCACTTCTGTGGCATGGTGGTGTTTTGGTAGAGCAGGTTACCAGGGTTCGTAGGGCTGCCTGATGGGGACGGGCATGTAAGTCACAGGGAAAGGCTGGGATCCAGGCCTCGGCTGTAGCAGCAGCTAGAAGAGGCAGAGCCACATGGTCACAACACACAGACAGAGCACAGCGATACAAAACAGCTCGGCTGAGCAGCAGCAGCGTCTCCTTCAATCATGATGTCTCCACCCCAGCTCATGGCCGGGGGGCTGGATGGAGATAACAGAGCAGAGGAGGCCTGCTCCATGGTGGGTAGGGGAGCTGATGGGGAGAAAGCTGATGGATGTACCACCTCCCTTGTTTTTCACATCGGGGGTGCACTCGAGTCCCAGATCTTCTGAGCCGTCAGGGTTTTCTTTCACATCCTGAGGAATCCTAAAAGGAAATCAGCCTGACTTCTTCAGACAGGGAGCAGGAGGATCTTGGATGAGTGGAAGACCTGAGAAGTCGGTGCCATGAAGGAGTGCAGAAGTCAAAGCCACCAAGAAAAGCAGTTGGCCAGCAAGTGGCTGGAGAGGGCAGGCCCAACACCCAGGTCAGAGGCCAGGACCCGGAGCCCAAAGAAAGTCGGTTGCCAAGGTCAGCCGGCAGCCCCAGGTAGAGCAGAGCTTCTGCGGGGAGCAGACTGCACCATCGACTGTTCCTGGGGGCCCCTTCCTGCTTCACTCCCCATTATGCAGCAGGGGCTGGAAAGACAGGCAGTTGCAAGGGGGTTAATGACAGGAATTCAAAAGAGCCCTGGCCTGCAGGAGTCACACTAGGCCTGAGCTGTTCATCAGCTAGACCCCCAGCCTTGGATGGTCCCCACCCAAGCCACCAAGTTTCCAGGGAAGCTCTGAATCCCTTGAGCCCGGTACACATCCGTCTCCCTCCACCCCGTCAGATGCTGAGTGGCCAAGAGCAGGCAAGACCCGCTCCAAGTTCTCAGTCTGTCACCAAGCGCCAGTGCCACCAGCCTAGCTCCACAGCTGGTAAAGTAAAAACTGCATGACCTCATATGCTCAAGCCTCCCTTGGGAAGATAGGGGCATACTTCATCTCACAAAACCACGGAAACTGGGAGAGGGGAGTTCTGTCAGCTGCTGGACAGGCCCTGGGCGCCCCGGCACCTGATGGGATGGGCTGGTTTGCATCGAGTGCTCTCCCACGAGCAGCCTTTAAGCTCTTCGGTTTCTCATTGTGCTCCTGGCTTGGTCTTCTTGGCGAGGCCCAAGCCTTTTCTGGGTGGCCCTTCTCTAGACCTAGCCCTCTCCCACCCTGGAATGGGGCACAGGAACCCATACCTGTCTGTCAGTCAGGACCCCTGGCTCTGGGCGCTTCCACGATGAAGCCAGAAGGATGTAGAGCACCAGCAGCCCGAAGGCCACCACCAGCATCCCAGTGATGTTGGCAAAGACGGCCTCACTGGGCAGGCTAGAGTACGGCTTCGTAGCGTTTTTTCTGGAGATGACAAAATGATGTAGGCTCTTGAGAGATTTTTCCATTTTTGCCCACTAGGAGACCCGATGCCACCAAGAGAGGATGAGAAAACCTTCCAGTGACCACCTGGGATCCGGAAGTTTAACATTTTTTCAAAGTCCCTGCACAGTAACAACTATCTGTATAATGCTTTTTTACCTCTGAGGAAACTGAAGCTCAAAGTGGTGAGATTAACTTGCCTGAAGTAATAGTAAATGGCATAACCAAGATCTTTTTTTTTAAGAGTTTTTTTTTTTTTTTTTTTTTTGCTACAGGGCACGTGCACTCGCCAGACAGACAGAGAGAGACAGAGAGACAGAAAGTGAGAAATCACCCCCCCAATCACCCCCCCAGGGGGGATGGCAACGCCACAATCCCTTCTCCTCTGTTCTCTTCTCGGGATCTTGGGCACACACACACACGCGCCCAGTGTGAGTTTTAAGCCACCGGGTCCGGGATGCGAACCGCAGTCTACTACATGGGAGTCCAGCGACATAGCCATTACACTAACTGCTAATCCCAGCATAACCAAGATCTAAACCCAGGCCCAACCTCCAATTTTATTCACTTATCATTGCACCTACTACCTGGAAAGAATGGACAGTAGTGAGTTGGCATGCAGGCCATGGGGTCAGAGCTCTACCATTCACTGGCTGTGTGCACTCAGGTCAGCTGCTTAGCCTCTCTGCTTCAATCCCTCACTCGTAAGCTGTGACAACAGCGCCAATGTTGTAGGGAGGCTGAGACGATTAAATGTAAGGTGTTTAGAACAGCATCTGACAGCTGCTAAATCAACCTTGATAATTGTTTGCTGACCAAGTTACCAATCTCAACCTAAAGAAGGCCAATTCCAGAGACCAGCAGTTAGCATAATGGCTGTGTCGCTGGACTCAACCGCAGTTCGAGTCCTGGACCCGGTTGCTTAAACTCACACCAGGCGCATGTATGTGCGTGCCCAAGATTCTGAAAGGAGGAGAAGGGATTGCAGCGTGGCCATCCCCCTGGGGGGTGATTTCTCGCTTTCAGTCTCTCTGTCTCTGTCTTTCTGGTGAGCACGTGTGCCCTATAGCAAAAATCTCTCAAAAAGAAAAAATAAATAGGCCAATTCCATTACCTTCCAGCTCAAGGATAGGCCTGATCTCAAAGCTCTCTGCCCTTGGGTGGGTTCTATGATCACACAATGCATCTTTAAAGACCCCCTTCCTTCCTCTACGCCTTTGAGTCGAGGACCCCACTGTACTCACAAACTGAAGAAAAGCTTCTCGTTAATGCCGGAAATGACAGATGCAAGGGACAATGAAAGGATGGACGCTCCAAAGAAGACATGGATGGGTTTCAGGAGGCTGCGCAGCCACAGGGATGCCCAGGGCAGGAGGAAGACAGTAAAGCCCAGGAACCACTGCGAATACACAGAAGTGGCACCTGACTATGCAGCCTGTGACCAAAAGGGCACCAGGTCACCCCATGCCACCAGCACCTCCCCCCAGTGCTGTACCTTGGCCCTTCTCCCCCAACTCACTCTCTCCCACCAGGCACTGCCCCCCACTGCACCTCACTTCCTCATGTTGTGGTCTGTTTCTATTACACAGGAACAAGTTAGTAAACGATCTGCCTACCTACAACCCCACTCTCCTAGCAACTCTCCCCACTCAACATCCTTGCCCACAAAACTCACTTGTAGAAGGCCAGCATCAGAATACTGAAATCGCCTCTAGAATTGTTTTTGGTTCAGACAGAGGAGTAGGGAGAGGGGAAAAGAGAGGGCTGATTATAGTCAGCATGGTCCATGCATGACAAAGCTAGCACAGAGGGTTCTGGGAGACAGGTGGACAGCATGATGGGCGAATGCAGGAGCCACCCAGCTACCATAGCCCTCAAACGGTTGCTTCTGCAGGACATGCCCTGCTCTGCCCTCTCCAGGCCACGGCAGAGGGAATATTTGGTGCCGATATGAAAAAGGTGCCAGCAGAAGCCCAGGCTGCCAGACCTGGAAGAGGGAATCCAGAGGAAAGGAAGGAGAACCCACCTGGCTGGCAAAGAGGAAGACGGTGGTGATGCCCAACCAGCTGTGCAGGGAGTAGAGGTTGGCAATCTTTTGGGAGTTGTGAAAGTTAAAGACAGCAACCAGTCCCACCACAGTCAGGATGAAGGCCATCAGGTGCAGGGCTGCGTGGAGGAATTTCCAGGGCAGCTTGGGTCCCACCCAAGACTGGGGCAGACGGTACACCAGCGACGCTGTGGGAGAGAGCAGTTGCAAGGCTCATCTTCTTCCCCTGTGGTCACCCACGCATCAGGGAATCACCCTGATGGGAGCCCACACAGCCCTCAAGGAGGGAAGAGGACATGCTGGGACACTGGTCTCCACTCTGTCTTCCTATCAGTTGTGGGCCAGCAGGGCCAGCAGGGCCAGCAGGTGGTGTGGTAGTTTAGGTGCTGGACTCCCACATGGCTGACAATTCGAGTCCCCGACCTGGCAGCTTGCTTTCTCCCTTTCTCTCTCCTCTGTCTCTGGTGTACACACAAGCCTTATAGCAAATTAAAAGATAATAATAATGGGCCAGCAAGTGGCATGGTGGTTAAAGGTGCTGGCCGACCACGGTTCAAGTCTCGGACCTGGTGGCTTGCTTTCTCACTTCCTCTCTCTTTCTCTCTGTCTCTCTCTGCTCAAACTGGAAAATAATAATGATAATAATAATAAAGTTAAGTAAAATAATTCTTTAAAAAATAATAAGTCAACTTATATAATAATTTAAAAATATATATGGGATAGCAATCAGCCATGAAGGGAGGAGAGAAGGTTAGTTAAAAAGGCAGGAATGGGTTTCTGCCATTCTGGTATTAACAATAATCGATACAGGCCCAGCCCCATGACCTACTAGTTAAGAGAGCTGGATCCCATATGGTCAACCACAGTTCAAATCTCAGGCCCTGGTGGCTTGAAAATTTGTCAAGGACGTGTCTGTACATGTCTAAAATCCTGAAAGGAGGGAGAAATAGAGAAGAGACTGCAGCATGATCATGCTCCACAGAGGCATGTCTTTCTTTGGCAAGTGCATGTGTTCTCTGGCAAATAAAATACAATAAGAGTCCAGCAGATAGTGTGGGGGTTAAGGTGCTGGACTCCCACATGGTCCACCATGGTTCAAGTCCCAGACCTGGAGGCTTGCTTTCTTACTTTCTCTTTCTCTCTCTCTCTCTCTCTCTCTGGTGAGCACACATGCCCTATAGCAAATTTAAAAAATAATGATGATAAATAAAGAAAATAATTTAAAATAAGTGCAGCATATATGCAGGTTTACAGGCTAGAAAGCATGGTCACATTATTTTCATCAAACTGAATTCTCACAACTGAGGTTCGCTACCAGAATGTAGGCATTATGGTCAGATACCTCGGTCCAGACCTAGGCTTTCATCTTAGCTGTTTGGCCTCTTCTTTCTAAGCCTCAGATTCCCCATCATACAGCAGGGGGGAAATGGACTCCCACATGGCTGACAATTCGAGTCCCCGACCTGGCAGCTTGCTTTCTCCCTTTCTCTCTCCTCTGTCTCTGGTGTGCACACAAGCCTTATAGCAAATTAAAAGATAATAATAATGGGCCAGCAAGTGGCATGGTGGTTAAAGGTGCTGGCCGACCACGGTTCAAGTCTCGGACCTGGTGGCTTGCTTTCTCACTTCCTCTCTCTTTCTCTCTGTCTCTCTCTGCTCAAACTGGAAAATAATAATGATAATAATAATAAAGTTAAGTAAAATAATTCTTTAAAAAATAATAAGTCAACTTATATAATAATTTAAAAATATATATGGGATAGCAATCAGCCATGAAGGGAGGAGAGAAGGTTAGTTAAAAAGGCAGGAATGGGTTTCTGCCATTCTGGTATTAACAATAATCGATACAGGCCCAGCCCCATGACCTACTAGTTAAGAGAGCTGGATCCCATATGGTCAACCACAGTTCAAATCTCAGGCCCTGGTGGCTTGAAAATTTGTCAAGGACGTGTCTGTACATGTCTAAAATCCTGAAAGGAGGGAGAAATAGAGAAGAGACTGCAGCATGATCATGCTCCACAGAGGCATGTCTTTCTTTGGCAAGTGCATGTGTTCTCTGGCAAATAAAATACAATAAGAGTCCAGCAGATAGTGTGGGGGTTAAGGTGCTGGACTCCCACATGGTCCACCATGGTTCAAGTCCCAGACCTGGAGGCTTGCTTTCTTACTTTCTCTTTCTCTCTCTCTCTCTCTCTCTCTGGTGAGCACACATGCCCTATAGCAAATTTAAAAAATAATGAAGCTAAATAAAGAAAATAATTTAAAATAAGTGCAGCATATATGCAGGTTTACAGGCTAGAAAGCATGGTCACATTATTTTCATCAAACTGAATTCTCACAACTGAGGTTCGCTACCAGAATGTAGGCATTATGGTCAGATACCTCGGTCCAGACCTAGGCTTTCATCTTAGCTGTTTGGCCTCTTCTTTCTAAGCCTCAGATTCCCCATCATACAGCAGGGGGGAAATGGAACCCACCTTCACCTGGGTGCAAGGCACAGCTCCTAGTGCACGAGGCAAAGATGGACCCAGGACGTGTAGGCAAGGCCCTCATTTAAGGACCTGATGGTGCCATGAGAGGCTTCCACCTTCTGTTCCTTGGAGCAGGGGTCGGTGAACTACAGCTCATGGGCCCAATCTAGCCCCAGCACCTACTTTATAAGTAACAGCACATGAGCCACACTCACGTGTTCATATTGTCCTGGCTGCTCTCACAGGTCAGTGGCAGAGCCAAGTGGCTGTGACAGATTATATGGCTTGCAAAGCCTAAAAATCATTTACAGTCTGGCCTTTTACAGGAAGTTTGCTGACCCCTGCCCTAGAGTATCTGTAAAGCCGCCCTTCTGACTTGCCTAACTGATGACAACCTCTCCAAATGACAGCTAAGCCCATGATGACCCGACCCACCCCACCCCCATATCCCCGAACCCCACATTGACAAAGGCCAGCCTTGGGGAGGAAAAGCACGGCCCCATCCAGGCCTGGGCTGTATCATGCCCCCCAAGCTGGCCTCCCACTCACCAGCTCCGTAGAGGACCACCATGCCGGCGACCATGAGCACAGGGTGCCAGTTGAACATGTGGATGCTGCCGTTCCAGGCAAAGCCGCCACGCCAGTACTGCATCCAATAGGTGGTGAAGAGGACGCACATCGAGCCCAGGGACCCCAGCGCCAGGCAGGACAGGTAAAACCATCCTGAAGCCATTCTGACCAAGCACTCCTAGAAGTGGAAGTAACACATCCCGCTGGCTCGGGTGTCCCACGCACACACAGGCTAAAGGAGGCACTACTGACCTTGTTTTAGGCCCATGAAACAGAATCTTTCTGCTTCTGTTCCCCTGCCATCAGCCTGGGCACCACCTCCCATGAGGCCATGAGGGTGGGGTGGGCCTGATTTCTGGTTTCAGACAATGAGTGAGGCCCCACCCTGGCTGGCAATGCACAGAGCAGCAAACTCAGGCTGTCGCTGGCCCTGGAGAAGGGCCTTCTGTGCTGTGGCCAGGTGCCAAGGCTCTGGGCTCAGAGCCCTGGGATTAGTCTCCACATGCAAGTCCACAAGGTAAAGAATCCACAGCCTCCGCCTCTAACCCCACAAAGAAAGGACAGGTGGGACCAGCAGTGAGCATAATGGCTATGTCGCTGGACTCGCACGTAGTCGACAGTGGTTCGAGTCCCAGACCCGGTAGCTTAAACTCACACCGGACGCATGTGCGTGCGTGCCTAAGATCCTGAGAGGAGAATGGAGGAGAAGGGATTGCAGCGTGGCCATCCCCTCTGGGGGTTGATTTCTCACTTTCTGTCTCTCTGTCTCTGTCTGTCTTTCTGGTGAGTGCACGCAACCTATAGAAAAAAAAACCTCTCCAAAAAAAAAGAAAGAAAGAAAGGACAGGCTGAGGCTGGCAGGTGGTGTGGTGGTTAAGGGCACTGAACTCCTACATCACCAACTGTGGTTCAAGTCCCGGACCTGGCAGCTTGCTTTCTCACTTTCTCTCTCTCTCTCACTCTGTCCCTCTCTGTTCTAAATAAATAAATAAAGTTAAATAAAATAATTCTTTAAAAAAGAAAAGAAAAGAAAGGGCAGGCTGGATCACACATACACCAAGCGCTGGGTTGTAACATAAGGAACAAAAGCACAGTGAGAGGAGCGAACACACTACTGCTACGCTGGCTGAAGAGAAGGCCCATGGGCTCCCAGGACGACAGCGAAATCCTTCCTTCCGGGAGGAGGAACTCGGGGTTAATCCTCACTGGGGAGGTAACATCAGACCTTCACTCCAGGGTCCCCACAGTCTACACCAGGCCCGAGACTTCTGCTTTCTCTTCCTCTGGGGAAAGTCCAGAGGCGAAAAGAAGAAGCTAGAACTCATGGTCTAGAGAGCAAGAGGTTTATTTTGAGATTTGCACATGAACTTGATCAACTCAGAAACCAGCTCTGGTTTAGGGTTTGGCAAACACTTAGCTCCTGAGAAGCTGGTCTGAAAGGCCGGGCCAAGTGGGCGAAGCCACAAGACTGGCCCTGCTCTCTGCTGACATGTAGGTGGCACTGGCTTAGGCCTCATGGCAGAGATCCTGTCCCTCATGAGTATCCCTCACACTAAGAAGGCAACACTATGACTTCCTGCAGATCCAGGCCCTCACTCTCCATCAGTTACCAGAAGAAACAGCCAAAAACTCCAAGGAAATACAACACCTGATTCCTCACCTTTAGACCTACTGGTAGGCTGACTGAGCGGTTACCTGGGCTCCAATTCTCACAAACTGGGCACCTTGAACAAATCACTTAACATCTGCAGGACTCAGTGTTCTCATCTGGAAAATAGAACAAAACAGAAAGCACGGCAATAAGACGACATTTATTGAAAGCCAGCTCCAAGCACAAGAGTCTTACACACAATTCCCTTTAATCGTCTTGATGACCCTGTAAAGAATATTATCCTGGGACCAGCAGATAGCATAATGGTTATATCGCTGGACTCCCATGTAGTTGATCACGGTTCAAGTCTGGGACCCGGCAGCTTAAAACTCAAGCCACGCATGTACCTAAAAGTCCCGAGAGGAGAATGGATAAGAAGGTATTGCAGTATGGCCATCCCTCTGGGGGAGAAGGGGCAAGATTCTCACTTTCTGTCTCTTTCTGTCTCTCTGATGAGCACAATAGCAAAAAATCTCTATCTAAAAAAAATAAATAAAAGGGTCTGGCAGGTGGCATGGTGGTTGAGGGTGCCAGACTCCCACATGGCTGACCACGGTTCTAGTCCTGGACCTGGCAGCTTGCTTTCTCACTTTCCCCCCTCTCCCTCTCTCTCTCACACACTCTGTCCCTCTCTGGTGAGTTGAAATAAATAAATAAAGGTAAATAAAATAACTCTTAAAAAAAAAAAAAGAATATCATCCCAATCTTATGCAGGAAGGAACTAAGGCCGGAAAAAAGTCCCGGACCTGGCAGCTTGCTTTCTCACTTTCTCTCTCTCTCTCACTCTGTCCCTCTCTGTTCTAAATAAATAAATAAAGTTAAAGAAAATAATTCTTTAAAAAAGAAAAGAAAAGAAAGGGCAGGCTGGATCACACATACACCAAGCGCTGGGTTGTAACATAAGGAACAAAAGCACAGTGAGAGGAGCGAACACACTACTGCTACGCTGGCTGAAGAGAAGGCCCATGGGCTCCCAGGACGACAGCGAAATCCTTCCTTCCGGGAGGAGGAACTCGGGGTTAATCCTCACTGGGGAGGTAACATCAGACCTTCACTCCAGGGTCCCCACAGTCTACACCAGGCCCGAGACTTCTGCTTTCTCTTCCTCTGGGGAAAGTCCAGAGGCGAAAAGAAGAAGCTAGAACTCATGGTCTAGAGAGCAAGAGGTTTATTTTGAGATTTGCACATGAACTTGATCAACTCAGAAACCAGCTCTGGTTTAGGGTTTGGCAAACACTTAGCTCCTGAGAAGCTGGTCTGAAAGGCCGGGCCAAGTGGGCGAAGCCACAAGACTGGCCCTGCTCTCTGCTGACATGTAGGTGGCACTGGCTTAGGCCTCATGGCAGAGATCCTGTCCCTCATGAGTATCCCTCACACTAAGAAGGCAACACTATGACTTCCTGCAGATCCAGGCCCTCACTCTCCATCAGTTACCAGAAGAAACAGCCAAAAACTCCAAGGAAATACAACACCTGATTCCTCACCTTTAGACCTACTGGTAGGCTGACTGAGCGGTTACCTGGGCTCCAATTCTCACAAACTGGGCACCTTGAACAAATCACTTAACATCTGCAGGACTCAGTGTTCTCATCTGGAAAATAGAACAAAACAGAAAGCACGGCAATAAGACGACATTTATTGAAAGCCAGCTCCAAGCACAAGAGTCTTACACACAATTCCCTTTAATCGTCTTGATGACCCTGTAAAGAATATTATCCTGGGACCAGCAGATAGCATAATGGTTATATCGCTGGACTCCCATGTAGTTGATCACGGTTCAAGTCTGGGACCCGGCAGCTTAAAACTCAAGCCACGCATGTACCTAAAAGTCCCGAGAGGAGAATGGATAAGAAGGTATTGCAGTATGGCCATCCCTCTGGGGGAGAAGGGGCAAGATTCTCACTTTCTGTCTCTTTCTGTCTCTCTGATGAGCACAATAGCAAAAAATCTCTATCTAAAAAAAATAAATAAAAGGGTCTGGCAGGTGGCATGGTGGTTGAGGGTGCCAGACTCCCACATGGCTGACCACGGTTCTAGTCCTGGACCTGGCAGCTTGCTTTCTCACTTTCCCCCCTCTCCCTCTCTCTCTCACACACTCTGTCCCTCTCTGGTGAGTTGAAATAAATAAATAAAGGTAAATAAAATAACTCTTAAAAAAAAAAAAAGAATATCATCCCAATCTTATGCAGGAAGGAACTAAGGTCGGAAAAAAAAAAATAACTAGCATTAGGACTCAGTAAGTGGGCAAGGAGTTCAAACTTTCATCTGCTGGCTTTAAGTTCCAGACATTTTTTTTTTTTTAAGAATTATTCATCTATTTAATTCCATTTGTTAGTATTACTTTTTCATTTGATCAGGAAGGGAGAAAGAAAGGAAAGTGAGAAAGCAAGCCACCAGGCCCAGTACTCAAACCACAGTCAGCCATGTGGAAATCCAGCGCCTTTATCCTTCACACCACCTGCTGGCCCTGTGCCCCAGGCTTTTTTCTTGACCATGGGTTTTCAGATCAAGTGAGATGTGTGTGACGATGCTGTGAGACGGGTATTATAACTCTTCATAGGTACCATTGTCGCAGCATCTTACACTGACTCCTAAAACCTAAAGCTCATGTCCCCATGCCTGCCCAGGTCTCTCGATAGCCAATTATGCCTTATGAAGCCACGCTAGCTTTCACCATGCCAGCGGTGCACCTAACCAGGAACAGACTCTGGGCTCTCACAGGGTGATCTAAATTATCAGTAATCTCTGCGAGAGAAACGTCCCAGGTCTGGGATGGTGGGAGGAGACAAGCTTCCATGAGGCTGGCAGGGGAACATGATGTCATCTTCCCACAAGCTTTGTGACTCTACCACCACACTCGGAGATCGGCTACCCAGCCTTGGAGCTGACTCCTCAATTCCCGCAAAAGCAGAGGAAGTTTCAGGTCATCAGACATTTGGCTAAAACATCCACCACCCACCAGTGAAGTGTTCAGTCAGCATTAAGGAGCGCTTCGTAAACAGGTCCCATCCATTCAACATCTACTTCCACAACTTTGTTTTTTCCTTTGTAAATGACAAAAGAAAAACATAGTCCAGGGCCAGCTAGTGGTATGGTGGTTAAGATGACTGGATCCCACAAGGCTCACTATGCAGTTCGAGTCCCAGACCCAGCAGCTTTAAAAACATACCAGGCTGGGGGCCGGCAGGTGGCATGGTGGTTAAGGACGCTGGACACCCACATGGCCGACCACAGTTCGAGTCCTGGACCTGGCAGCTTGCTTTCTCACTTTCCCTCTCTCTCACTCTGTCCCTCTCTGGTCAAATAAAAATAAAAAAGGAAAAAAAAAAAAGAAAGAAAGAAAAACATACAAGGTCCATGCCCATACATGCCCAAAATCTTAAGACAAGAATGGAGAAGGGATTGCAGTGTGACCATCCCCCCAAGAGGTGATTTCTCGTCCTGTTGGGCCGAGGCCCCCTATAGCAAATTAAAAAAAAAAAAAAAAACTACACACACACACGTGTGTATGTATGTATGACCAAAAAGGGACTGTATCCACACACCCAGGGGGCTCCTAATCACTGCTGCTTCACGACAGACTTGGGAAAAAGGATGGGAGGGAGGTGGAGACAATTTTCCTGACGGAAGGCTAAAAGTTATGCCGCTCTGCTACAGTGCACAGATAAGCCCTCCCTCTTCTTGAAACAGAGTCCAAAATGGGGAAGAAGAATGCAGCAAAAACTGCAATGTATATGCTGAGACTATCATTCTCATCCGTACTGAGAGAACAGGGGGGATTATGATTTCAGGATATGCTCACCACGATTTGGTCTCCTATTCTACCCTCGCTTTGGAGAGCCTCATAGCAAGGATCTGCAAACTTTTTCTTAGGCTTCGCAAGGCACATGGTCTCCATCACAACTGTGCCATCAGTACTGCTGAGAGAGAGCAAGAGCAGTCACAGACAGTATTTTAACGCACAAGCTGTGTTCCAATAGCGTTCATTTGGAGTCAATGAAATATAGGTTTCATGTAACTTTCACACAGCACAAAGCATAATATTATCAGATTCTTTTTTTTTTTTTTTTTAAGGTTTTTGCCATAGGGCACATGCACTCACCGAAGAGAGAGAGATAGTGAGAAAGAAATTGGGAAATCCAGGGATAGCTACACTGTGATCCCTTCCCCGTTCTTCTCCTGGGACTTTGGGTACATATGCACAGTGGGATTTTCAAACTGCCAGGTCTGGGACTTGAATTGTGGTCAGCCATGTGGGAGTCCAGTGCCTTAACCACCATACTACCTGCTGGCCCCTATCAGAATCATTTTTTTAAGATCATTTAAACATGCAAAAATCACTCAAGCGGGCCAGAGTAGGTTGTAGCTTGCTGTCCCTGATCTAAGAAGGTTACTCTCCAATCTGTTGATTCTTTTTTTTTTTGGAGAGGTTTTTGCTACAAGGCGCATGCACTCGCCAGACAGACAGAGAGAGACAGAGAGACAGAAAGCGAGAAATCACCCCCCAGGGGGGATGGCCACGCCGCAATCCCTTCTCCATTCTCCACTCGGGATCTTGGGCACGCACGCACATGCGCCCGGCTTGAGTTTAAGCCACCGGGTCCGGGACTCGAACCGCGGTCGACTACGTGGGAGTCCAGCAACATAGCCATTACGCTAACTGCTGGTTCCCATCCACTCTTTTGTTTTTAAAGAATTATTTACTTATTTCAATTTGACCAGAAGGGACAGAGAAAGAGAGCACAAGCCACCAGATCCAGGGACTCAAACCATCGTTGGCCATGTGGGAGTCCAGTGACCTTAACCACCACACCTGCTGGCCTCCAACTTGTTAATTGTTGACAAAAAGGATTCTGCCAGGTGCAGCTAAAACATATCAGGGAGTAGGAAAGGGGCTGTTTCCATTCAGCTTTTAGCTTACGAATAAGGCTCTTTTCCAAACTCTTGCAAGTTATAACTCAGAACTACAAATAAACAAAGGGACAGCATTGATGCTGTCCCTTCCTAGATCAACGGGAGGATTTTAAGAATCCTAAGAACCTGGCCAGCAGGTGGCCTGGAGGTTAAGGCAGCTGGATCCAACATGCCTGACTGTACAGTATCAGACCCGGTGGCCTGGGTGTGTGTGGTGCCCAAAATCCCGAGAGGAGAATAGAACTGATTGAAGCATGCCCATCCCACTGGGGGGGGGGGTGGGGGGGAATGACTTCTCTCTCTGTCTCTGTGTCTCTCCAGCAAGCGCACGTGCCCTATAACAAAAACAAAAACCAAACAAACAAAACTTTTTAGAAGAATCCCAAGAACCACTTAAGGGTCAAATCCTAAATTCTTGTTTCAGGATCAAAAAATACCCGAACATTGGGGGCCTGAGCGGAGGAGCAGGTTCAGGAATTCAGGTCCACTGCCTCTCGGGTGGGTGCGAGGACTCCTTATTTCACAACTGCAGCTTCTGTAAAGCCAGGACTCAGAAGGGAAAGGCCCAACATTCCAAACATGAGGTCGGTAAGCAAGGCTCTCCTTAGCACCAGATTACAGACCGGCTCAACGGTTGTGCTCAGGTGGTCCGAAGAACCTGTCCCAGGAACTCGAGGGTCAATCCCTAACTCCTCTACTGGGCATTCGGTCCCAGCTACCCGTGGGTGAAAGCTGGGACGAGCAGCCCCACCTGCTTTCTGAGCTCTCCGATGAGCTTCTGTGCCTCCACAACCACCACCTGTGGAAGGAACGGCGCAGGGACAGGGTCCATCTCCTAAAAGAGGAAGCTGAGGCAGAGCGAAGCGTTGCGATAGCGCGAAGCGACGTAGTAGCGCAGTCAGGTAGTAGCGGAGCCGGCACTCCCTGAACTCCCAGCCCGGGCTCTTTCTCACCCCTAACCACAGTGGGACGCAACGGGGCCGAGGTCTTCGAGACCCGCTTTTCGCCACTCCACCGGCTCCTGAAAGGCAGGGAAGAAGCGCTCCGTGAGACCGCCAGCAGATACCACCTGCCCAAGGCTGAGCGACCGGCGCAGCAGCGTCCTCTTATATAAGCGCCAGCACTTCCGGTGGCGCGCAAAGCTGCCTGGGAAATGAAGTCCACAGTCCCATCCCCGCCAACTCCTTGCGAGCCAAGGTGCTGGCTTTGAACTTCGGTTCCTCCACGGGCGTTTCTCCTCAAATTTGGACTCAGGGACAGGAAAGACGCTAAGCGTCTGCTCCGTCCTTCAGCCTTCATCCGAGGAAGCGGAAATGTTCGGATTGACGGGCCGAAGACTGGTCTTCCGCAAGACCGGCCGCAGGCAGCGGCGGCGAAAGATCTGGGTCAGCGTGCTTCGACGCTGGGAGGGCCAGGAGCGGGGAGGGCCCAGGAAAGCGAGCCCGAACGTGGCAGCCTGGCTGGCCCGAGAGTAGGGAGAGAAAGAAGACAAGCCAGCCACACGGCGCCGACCGAGCCGCGCCCGCCATCTACTTCCGGAATTTAAAGCAGGTTTCCGGAAGCCAGGAGGGTGTCCCCATGACAACCGACGTTGGGGCTTTGAGGTGAGAGTGGTTGATGGGGAGTGGGTAAAGGGGCCAGAAGTTCGAATTTTTGTTGCTGTTGTAATTGATTTGGTTTTATGCGAAGGCAGTCCCATTTTATGTGGGCTGGGGAGGGTGAGGGAAACTGCTCTGGGGACAAAGGGAAGGCGGCAAGAGCGGTGGATGATCTCTAAGAGCGTTTCATTAGCTTGCGATTCACCTTTGCCCTAAAGGAGGGGATGACTGTCCTTCCCTGGAGAGAGCGATGGGCGTCTCCATGTAACGGATCCTCACAACAGCCCTCGTGGTGACTGGTGAAGTAGCGGTTAAGGGATCGGGTTTGGCGTCACACCTAGTTAAGAATCCTGGCTCTGCTTACTTGCGACTTGGGGGAATGTCTTGAACTCTGACTTTGTGTTCTTGCTTGGAGAATAGGGATAATGCTCTCCCACCTTGCAGAGTTGGTGCGAAGATTAAAGGCTGACAAGTTAATCACGGTGCTGTTAACCTAAGTGAATGAATGCGGAGACTCGGGTTCAAAGAATCCACCTTCATACATCCAGTAAGGGGGGAGGGATTTCTCCACCGGGTGGGGTGGACCAGGTGCCTTAACCTCCCAGAGCCGCTGTGTAAAAACAGGAATTCTATGGATTATAATGGCTACTTCTCAAGATGGTGCCAGGATTGAGTAAGGCTATGGATATGAAAAGAGTTTGTAAGTTGTAATATATTGTACAGATACTGATCACTCTAATACTTCAAAGCATTTTATAGGTTTGATCCAACTGCAGGATCATGGGGCAACCCCAGAGCAACCTGTGGGTCTTAGGTGATATGAAAATGAAGGCCAAATTCCCCTTACTTAATGTCACTGTGTTAATACCATAACTTTAAACACAAAGTTCCTCAGGAGAGCACTGTTTCTTCTCAGCTTTTCTTGCCAGTACCACCTCCCAATTACTCCGAGTCTCCATTTTCCCCACCTAGTTACATATCATTCTGTAATGATAGCTTAATGCAGTAAAGAACATAGATGCTGGACTCAGCCTAGATCTGAATCCCAGTCCTGCCACTACTACTTGGTTTTTTTTTGTTTGTTTGTTTTATTTTTCCAGATCCTTGACGTCTTTGTCTACAGCCTCTTGAATTAATATAAACATGAGTTGACCAGAGAGGGACAGAGCACACGTGCACGAGAGAGAGAGCAAGCCACCAGGTCCAGGACTCGAACCACAGTTGGCTATGTGGGAATCCAGTGTCCTCAACCACCACACCACCTGCCAGCCCCTATTTTTAGAGATTTTTGCCTTAGGGCACATGCTCTTGCTGTGGTCAGGAGACAGACAGTGAGAGGGAAAGTGAGAAATCACCTCCCCCATGGGGAATGGGTATGGTACAATCCCTTCTCCTTTCTCCTCCTGGGATCTTGGGGACACATGCGCATGTGCCCAGCATGATTTTGAAGCTACCGAGTCTGGGACTTGAATCATGGTCAGCCATATGAGAGTCCAGTGGCATAACTGCTAAGCCATCTGCTGGCCCCCCTGTTTGATCAATTATTTTCTCTCTCTGGACCTCAATAATATCTAATTGGTAAAGTAATAATGTACTCCCTACTACAGGAGGTTATTGTGATGTTTAAATAATGTTTAAAAAGTGCCTGGCAGGCCTTGTAGTTGGCATTTTGGTTAAGGTTTCTGGATTCCCACTATAGCCGACTGTGGTTCAAGTCCTGGACCTGGCAGCTTGCTTTCTTGCTTTCTCTCTCTCTCTCTCTCTCTCACTCTGTCCCTCTCTGTCAAATTAATATATATATATAGGGACGAGCAGTTGGCATAATGGCTATGTTGCTGAACTCCCACATAGTCAACTGTGGTTCAAGTCCCAGACCTGGTGACTTAAACTCACACTGGGCACGTGTGCGTGCATGCCCAAGATCCCGAGAGGAGAATGGAGGAGAAGGGATTGTGGCGTGACCATACCCCCTCGGGGGGGGAGGGTATTTCTCGCTTTCTGTCTCTGTCTCTCTCTGTCTTTCTGGCAAAAACCTCTTCAAAAATAAATTTAAATGAAATAACTCTTTTTAAAAAAATCCAGGGCACATTTTAAGTGATATATAAAGGGTTGTGGCTATTATTCCTACTACCATTACATAATCAGGCAGTCATTGTTTTCTGTAGTATTCCTGTTTTGTTGTTGTTGTTGTTGTTGTTTAAAAGAATTATTTTATTTAACTTTATTTGAATTTGACCAGAGAGGGGCAGAGTGTGTGTGTGAGAGAGAGGGAAAGTGAGAAAACAAGCCACCAGTTCTGGGACTTGAATCACAGTCAGCCATGCAGGAATCCAGCACCCTTAACCATCACGCCACCTGCTGGCCTCCCTTGGTTCTTTTGGCTAAAAGGAGCTCTTCATTTAGAAGGTTCTAGACGTGGAGAATGGTTTGAAAGTGAAGGGCCCTGAAAGGAATGACTAGTTGGGTTTTTTGGTTGTTGGTTTTGTTCACTAGCACATCTGACCTGAAGTGGCACATGGTACAGTCAGTCCCCAGTGTGTTTATTGTGTCAGTGAGTCTCTAACCTTGCCTTTCTTTTTGTCCCAACAGGCCCTCACCTTAGAGGAAGGGAAACAGCTCTGATTCAAAGGAACCAGACACTTCTCCCTCAGTGTTGGGAGCTATTTTCTAAGGACCCGTGGAATGTGCCCTTGGAGGCCCAAGAAAGCAGAAGGAAGATGCTTCAGACCGGTAACTACAGCCTGGTGCTCTCCCTGCAGTTCCTGCTGCTGTCCTATGATCTCTTTGTCAATTCCTTCTCGGAGCTTCTCCGAATGGCTCCTGTCATCCAGCTGGTGCTCTTCATGTGAGTTCCGTGGGTGGGCCTGGAAAGTTTCGCTCAGCAGTTTAAAGGCCCTGACAGTCATGACTTAGCATTTTCAAGTTATTGATAGAGAACTATCAGGAAGAATGAAATTCAGCATTGTCCTGGGTTCTCCATGGCACACGGACATGGTCATAGGTCCTGTTTTCATATATGTCTAACGAAGGTTGGGTTACGAGGAGCCGTTCACACAGGAAACGAGTCAGACTGCTGACCTATCATTTTCTCCATCTTTGAATAGAAATATTGCTTCTGCCACAAAAAATTAGAAAATGGCAGGTTAAAAAAGGCAACCTTGGGACCAGCAGGTGGTGTAATGGCTACGTCGCTGGACTCCCACGTAATCGACTGTGGTTCGAGTCCCAGACTCAGTGGTTTAAACTCATGCCGGGCATGTGTGCATACGTGCCCAAGATCCTGAGAGGAGAATGGAGGAGAAGGGATTGCGGCGTGACCATCCCCCCTGGGGGGTGATTTCTCGCTTTCTGTTTCTCTCTGTCTCTCTGTTTCTCTGGTAAGCATACATGCCCTATAGCAAAAACCTCTCCAAAAAAAAAAAAAAAAGAAAAGAAAAGAAAGAAAAAGAAAAAGGCAGTCTTATTAATAATATAGGTGAATATATTAGGATGGGAATTTTGGCATTTACCCCCCTACAATGACATATAGATGCCATGGTGCAGTTTCTGAACTGAAAACTGTGATCTTAGACCTGGTCTTTCTTCATTGGCCTGCCAGACAAGTTTTCTGGTCCAGTGGTAAACCTGGCGAGGTCCTGCTCTTAGGTAGAGGGTTTCCATTGTACTGGATATAGAGACAATAAATACATTAGTAATAATCATTTCACATGGTGATGTCATACCTTGGGTATAAAGTAGCTGAGGCGGGTAGGAGAGGGCTGTATTAGTGGGGCGAAAGGAAGTCTTTCTGAAGAGAGGACACCTGGACTGAAACCTGCCTGGCACCAGGGCACTAGCCATGCAAAGACAGGGTGAAGCACATTTCGTTTCGATAGATGAAACTGTCTGACAAGACCAGGTAATGTGACAGACCAGACTGGCATTTTCTGGAGGAAACTATGCTCGGAATTGCCTCGTAGGCTCCTGAGGTAAGCATATCAGAGCAGGAAAACCTTTCCTAGGGACTGCAGCTCAACTGTTGGGGCCAGATGGTCACTTGAGGTTCATTTCACTTGGGTCCCAGAGCCCACGCTTTCTCTATGGGGGTTTCAAATAACTGTATCACAGGGAAGGCTAGACCTGTCGGTGTCCCTAAGGATGTAGGGCCAGCTCTTGTTTTCTCACACAGACTTCCATTTGGCTGTACTCTGTTTTGTATGTCTGCAGCATCCAGGATATTGCAATCCTCTTCAACATCATCATCATTTTCCTCATGTTCTTCAACACCTTCGTCTTCCAGGCTGGCCTGGTCAATCTCCTTTTCCATAAGTTCAAAGGGACCATCGTCCTAACGGCGATATACTTTGCTCTCAGCATCTCCCTTCATGTCTGGGTCATGGTAAGATTGGAGCTCTGGATCCTTGAATCTTTTCTGGGATGGGGATATTTTTTTTTTTCTCTGGGAATCCAGCGTATATTTTCTATCTCACAGAATGCTTGATAAGAAACAGGTAAAGTGAAAGTGACCTGGGCTGGAGCGCTAGGCACACGAGAGTTTCCTAAGGCATGTTTTCCCAACCTTATATGTTGAAAAACAGCCTTATTCAAGAGTTGAAGGACTCTCCTGGAATGTGCAGTGTACCTCTGCCAGCCACAGGCCTGCCGGAACTAGACCAGGAAGCTGAATGTGTTTCATCATGAGTTCTTTAGGCAGATAGTTGTTTACACAGGAGATCTTTAGATACCAGTGTCCCATGACTAGTGCCGCAGGCAAGGGGTATTTCTGGGAAGTAGCCAAGCAAGAGTGCTGCTTATCCTTTAGTGTTCATTGCTGAGGCCCCATCACTGTCCCCGGGAGAACCAGCTCCCCGGTTACCTCCCTCTGGTCCGAGCATAGGCCTTAGACCAGGTCCAGCTTTCATAGCTTCAGATTGCTTCTGTGTCACAAATTTTCCCACACTTTGGCTATTTCACGTGCTTCACATGTACTCACTTTGAGGGAACACGTTAACACCTCAGGATGCTCTAGTCACTTCTTTGTACCTTTTCAACCAAAACCTCAGGGTTGCCCTTATGATTCCACAGCAAGAAGAGGTCACGGGAAGGAAGCGAAGCAGTGCTAAAGTCTCTAGGGCTTCCTGAGGAGGATTCAGTCCTCTCTCCTGGAGCCAAAATAGATCCTGACTTTGTTCTCTAAAGCCGTTAATCTGATTAAACCCCGAGTGCACCAAAGCCTTTATCTGGCCAGGGCTGAGCCTGAGACTTTCAACGCAAGACAATGGACACACTAAATTCCTAAAATAATGTATATCGTTTTTCCTTGGCAACAGCTATGGCATGGAAGGAGATAAACAGCTTAGTGAAACCCTCCCTGGACCAGCCGTGGTAGCATGCACCACTAAGGCACAGTGCTCTGCAGGCTGCGGCCCCATAGGAGGCCTGGTTTGATTCCTAGCCCAACCTCGAGTGGGTACAGTGGCATGGGCCTGTCATCCCCGTGATTTGGGAGGCTGACCTGGGCAACATAGCAAATACCTGTCTAAGAATAGATATGGTCGGGGGCCAGCCCTGTGGCCTAGAGGTTAAAGGAGTAGATCCCACATACTGAGCCACAGCTCGAGTCCTAGGGCTTGAGAAACACTGGGCACATGTGTGTGCGTGCCCTAAACCCTGACAGGATGGCGCGATGGAGAAGAATTGCAGCATGACCACATGCCATTGGACTACACCCTCTCCCTTTCTCTGTCTCTGGCAATTAAGGGAAAAAAAAAAAAAAAGAAGAGCCAGATGTGGTACTGTTAACGGATGGAAAAGTCTTGAGCTGCGTTGTGAAATCCTTGGTTCTTTGGGTCCAGATCACTAAAATTAGAGACTTGTCCCTAGGCGCAAAATGAAACCGCAACCACAAATGAAGTAGATAGAAAAGAAAGTTTAATAGAAAGAAAGGGAAGGAAAGAAAGGAAGTACACCCAAAAAGGTTGTTGGGCAGGCAGATTGCCAAGTGGCAACTGCGCTTGGTACTGGTTAATTGTTACTTTTATTACTAGAGGTCATGAATATTCATTAGTGGGCGGCCCCTTATGCTGCCTATGTTCTTCCTTTAAATTTGAATCCATACGTTCTCTCCTGCACCTGCGCACCATCCTCACAGGCAAAGTGAGGAATTTGATCACCCAATTGCGTACGCCCAGTGCAAGTCAGGTTGCCCCAATTAGATTGCCCAATTAGTCCATCGCCTTAATGGCCAAAATGCTTGCTTGGGTCCTTTTGATAAAAGAAAAATCTACGAATTATCCCTGTATGCTTCCCTCAAGCCTCAAGGAAGGAATATGGCAAATTACCTCGCCCTCCTGGCACCCGGGGCTAGGTGAGCCTTTCGCTTTTCTCTTAGGGCTGCCCGCTCATGGCTAACTGTCTACCGCAGCAACACAAAGTTGTTATCCCAGCTAGGAGACTGAGGCAGGAGAACCACAACAGGAAGACCATATTTTAAATAAATAAATTATCAAACGGGGCCGGCTCTGCAATGCAGCAGTAATGCACTGCTCAAAAGAAGCTGGATCCTACATGTGGACTGTGGTTTGAACTCCTGGCCCAGTTCGCCTGAAACAGCAGGCACGTCTGTGACTACCCAAGATACAGTGGGCTGGAGGAAGGGAACTGCTACGCAGCCAGACCCTGGGGAGAGTGCGTCTCTCTCTTTCTCATTCTTGTTCACGTGCTCACATGCTCTTACCTTGAAGAGAAAAAGAAAAGAAAAAACAACTCCCGTCCCCCAAAATTATTCTTTTTTAAAATTTTGCCAGAGGGCACGTGTGCTCCCCAGAGAGAGACAGAGAGAGGGAAAGTAAGAAAACACACCTCCCCTCCCCCCTCCTGCCATATTTTTTAAGCCTCTAGGTGTCTGGGATTCGAACTATGCAGTCATCCATGTGGATCCCTTCAGCTACCTTAACTACTATGCCACTGGCTGGCTCCCAGTTTTTTAAAAATTAAACTTCTTCCTTGGGCCTGCAGGTGGCATGTTGGTTAAGGCACTGGATACCACATGATCAACTCTGCAGTTCAAGTCCTGGACCCAGTGGCCTGAAAAACACACAGGGTACATGAGCGTGCATGCCCCCAAATCCTAAGAGAATGGAAGAGGAGGGATTGCAATGTGGCCATCTTCTCTGGAGGGTGATTTTTCTCTCTCTCTCTCTCTGTCTCTCTCTTTCTCCCCTTCTCTCCCTCCCTTCCTCCTTTCCTCCCTTTCTGGCAAGCACATGCACCCTATAGCAAAAATCTTAAAAAAAAAAAAAAATTCCTCTTGGTTAAAAGCATATTCCCTTTATATTAAAAAAGGGAGATTAAGACTCTTTCAGGAAATATTCCTTGGGATCATAGCAAGAAAGAGGGTAAGATTAGCATGATTGCCAACCAAGTAGTATCTCTGCAGCTCACCAAGTTGGAGGTGGTAGGGCCCCATCTGGCCATTAACCAGCCTGTCCCTGACTGCTCATCTCTCCCTCAGAATTTACGCTGGAAGAACTCCAACAGCTTTGTGTGGACAGACGGACTTCAAACGCTGTTTGTATTCCAGAGACTAGGTAAGGACCAGAGCACCCTCAGGCCTCTCCCGGGTCCCACATGTGTCTCTGGCACAGAGGGCCTTGGCTCTGACTTCCCAGCTCCATCACAGCCGGGATGGGTGGGACAGCCGTGCCAAGAATAGGAGAGATGACACCCTGTGCCCTTGCTGGAAGGGAGAAGTCACGAGGCAGGGCCCCTGGGCCTCATGGGGTTCTGCTCTGCACCCACAGCGGCAGTGCTGTACTGTTACTTCTACAAACGGACGGCCGTGAGGCTCGGCGACCCTCGCTTCTACCAGGACTCTTTGTGGCTGCGCAAGGAGTTCATGCAAGTCCGAAGGTGATCTCTTCATGTCACACTGAAGGATGCCTTTCCATCCTGATGGAAGCCACATTTGCCACCCTGCAGGAAGGGTTGGCCCAGTGTACTGGCAGTCAGCTGAACTTCCTAGGACAGGCATAGGCCGGCTGTGCATAACATTCAAGAAGGAAGAGCCTCCCTCTTACAAATTAAAGTGTCCCCCGACAGACTCCAGAACATAATCCCCACCCCCTTACCTCCTACCTCAGTCCCACTCCCTTTTCTTCCTTTCCTGCTCTATACCATTCTCTGGCCTCACTTCCTGACTGAGGTCTCTGTGACTCACCCTCCTGAAGCTTTTCCTTTAGCCTGGGACAGGGGGACCTCCCAGTCCCAACTCCCCTTGCACCGCACATGAGCGATTGAAGGATGCAAAGAGTGATAGTTATGGACTCCTGGCTGATTATATCTTAGACATTTAGATTTTATACCCAAGACACTTTTTTTATATTTTATAAATAGGAAATAAATTGAACTTTTTCCAGAAGTGGTGGAATCTGTCTGTCTAGCCAACTCCTACCCTCAACATCTACTTGACCCGGTGGGGAAGCTGAGACACAGATCAGTCAGATGTCTGTTGAGTCTCATTATGAGAAGGTGTTTTTGCAGAAATTCAAGATGTGGGGACCAGCAGATTGTGTAATGGTTACGTCGCTGGACTCCCACGTAGTTGGCTGTGGTTCAGGTCCTGGACCCAGAGGCTTAAGACTCACACCAGGTGAGTTTGAAGCAGCGGATGGCGTAAAGGTTAAGTCACTGGACTTCCATGTAATTGACCGTAGTTTGAGTCCCAGACCTGGCAGCTTAAAACTCACACCAGGTGCATGTGCATGTGTACCCAGAATCCCGAGAGGAGAATGGAGAAGGGACTATGATGTGGCCATCCCCTCTGGGGGTAGTGATTTCTCGCTTTCTGTCTCTCTTTTTCTCTCTGTCTCTCCAGCGAGTGCACACACCCTCTAGCAAAAATCTCTCTTAAAACAAAACAAAACAAAAAAAAACTCATGCTGAGCACGTGTGAGTACATGCCTAGGATCCGGAAAGGAGAATGGAAGAGAAGGGATTGTGGTGGGGCCATACCCCATGGGGGTGATTTCTCACCTTCTGTTTTTCTGGCAAGCACACGTACCCTATAGTAAAAGAAATCTCTAACAACAAACACACACACACACAAAACAAGATGTGGGACCAGCAGGTGGCGTGGTGGTTAAGGCACTGGACACGCTCACATGACTGACCAGGGTTCAAGTCCTGAATCTGGTGGCTTGCTTTCTCACTTCCTCTCTCTCTCACTCTCACCCTGTGTCTCCCTCAAAACTAAAAAATAAATGAATGAATAAAATAAAATAAATAATTTTAAAAACCCAACAAGATGTAATCTGTTGCCCCACCTCCAACTGTGGAGTTCTAGATTGCCACATTTCATTCAGAATCTTTTCTCCCTATCAGAGGCCTAAATTACCCTTAGAAAACTAAAAATGGCCCTTAGTCTGCTTTGGGAAAAGAAATTTTAAAACTTCATATACTCATAGTGTCAGCGTTTTTTTAGTTCCCAAGTTTTATTTGGGAATTCATATAAAATATTCCAGATAAATGAGTTTTAATCATCTTCTGCCTCTTCATCCTGGTTAATCTAGAAGTAATGCAGTTCCTAACTCTCTGCTGTTAGCAACTATGTGCAACCAATCACATGAATTACTCTTCAAATGTTTTTGGTGAGATACTCAAATACCTTTTGGAAAAAGGCACCTCGGACGTTATGGGGATCTTGCTCTTGCTCCTTCCAATGGTTCCAGCTCCTCCACCGAGATTCCTAGTGTTTCCACTCATTTTGATTTTCTCTTGGAGAAACTGCTCGGAATTGGCAGCATTAATGATTCCATCTTCTACGGGCTGGGTGTAGTCAAGGGTAAACTTCAAAACCTGCTTCTTTTTTTGCCTCCCCGCCCCTCTTCGCCACAAGATTTTTCACAGGCACCATGGCAGCAGGGGAGGCAGAAAGAAGTTTTAGGGTTTGTTTTTTTTTATTGGAGAGATTTTTTGCTATAGGGCATGTGTGCTTTCTGGAGAAACACAGAAACTGAGAAATCACCTCCCAGTAGGGATGGCCACACCACAATCCTTTATCCTCCAGTTTTCTCTTGGGATTTTGGGCATGCACACACACGTGCCTGGAGTGAACTTAAAGCCACTGTTCTGGGACTCAAACAGCAGTCGACTACGTAGGAGTCCAGAGCCTCAACCACTGCGCCACCTGCTGGTCTCCATAGTGCCTTTTTTTTGTTTTTTGGAGAGGTTTTTGCTATAGGGCACATGTGCTCGCCAGAAAGACAGAGACAGAGAGGCAGAAAGTGAGAAATCACTTCCCGGGGGGATGGCCACGCCACAATCCCTTCTCCTCCATTCTCCTCTCGGGATCTTGGACACGCACGCACACGCGCCTGGCGTGAGTTTAAGCCACTGGGTCTGGGACACGAACCGTGGTCAACTACATGGGAGTCCAGCAACATAGCCATTATGCTAACTGCTGGTCCCCATAGTGTCATTTTTTAAAAAATGTTATTTATTTATTCATTTTATTTTTTAATTCAACAGAGAAAGACACAGAGAGAGAGAGAAAGAGGGGAAGTGAGAAAGCAAGCAACCAGGTCCGAGACTTGGTGGTCAGCCACGTGGGAGTGTCCAGCACCTTAACCACCATGCCACCTGCTGGTTCTGATAGTGTCATTTTTTAATTGACAGAGTAAGTAATGTACACTGAACCACCACTGAGCTTCAGGAATATATAACCATAAACAGTTACTTGGCTATTGAATCTTGGTGTTCAGCCGATCTGGACTGGGTTCACTTGATTTCTGCTGGGCTCACTCAAGTGGTCAGCTGTGGGCTTGGCCTGAGTAGGCAGCTTTGATGATCTTAGGATCCTTTGGCTTTTGGCTAACCTGGGGTGACCTCAGTTGGAATGACTGGGCCCGCTCAGCTCTGGGTCACATGATTTATCATCCAGCAGACTAGCCTGGATCTGTTCACATGACAGTGGTAAAACAGAAGAGAACAAGCCTCTTTTTATTTGGAGAGGGTTTTTTTGCTATAGTGCGTGCGCTCGCCAGAAAGAAAGAGGCAGAGAGACGGAAAGCGAGGAATCCCCCCCAGGGGGGATGGCCATGCCGCAATCCCTTCTCCTCCATTCTCTCAGGATTTTGGGCACACACACACATGTGCCCGGCATGAGTTTAAGCCACTGGGTCCAGGACCCGAACCGCAGTTGACTACATGGGAGTCCAGTGACATAACCATTATGCTAACTGCTGGTCCTGAGAACAAGCCTCTTTTAAGGCCTCTGTTTATGGCATATCTCTTGGACTCCTATTGGTCAAAGCAAATCATGTGACTGAGCGTACTTCAGAGCCCAAAGCACTACAGAATGTCAAGGCAAAAGGCATGGCTAGAGGGAGGTTGAAGAATGAGGCTGGGTAATTCAGTCAGTCCATCACACCAGAGAGGTGCTCTGTGAAACTTGATATTCAGAGAGGCCTCACTACAGAAGTTGGCAAGCTTTTTCTGCGAAGGGCCAGGCAGTGAATAGATTTCGAAGGTACAACTACTCCTGATGTTGGATCATGAATGTAGCCATGGACGGTACAATTCATAAATGAGGGGCTCTCAAATGTAAAGATTTTAACATATTTTAAATAGAAAAGGTACAGGGCCAGCAGGTGGCATTGTGGTTAAAGATGCTGGATTCCCATATGGATGATGTGGTTCAAGTCCCGGACCTGGCGGCTTGCTTTCTCTCTTTCCCTTTCTCTTTCTCTGTCTCTCTCTGTTCAAAATAAAAAATAATAACAAATGAAATCAAATAAATAAATATTTAAAAATATTCCCTTTTTTGATAATTTTATATCAACTATCTATAGTCTATACAGCATTTATTAAGAATATAGAAATAGACGTACATATATATGTGTGTGTGTGTGTGTGTGTGTGTGTGTGTGTGTGTGTGTGTGTATATATATATATACAGCGCCCAGCATGAGTTTAAGCCACTGGGTCCAGGACTTGAACCACGGTCGACTACATGGGAGTCCAGTAACATAGCCATTATGTCAACTGTTGGTCCCAATAAATAATTCTTAAAAAAAAAGAAAAGAAAAAGAAAAGGTACAACTCTTTTTTCAGAGAAGTTTTTGCTATAGGGCACATGTACTGGCTAGAAAGAGAGAGACAGAGAGACAGAAAGCGAGAAATCACCTCCTAGGAGGGATGGCCGTGCTGCAATCCCTTCTCCTCCATTCTCCTCTCTGGATCCTGGGCATACACGCACACATGCCTGGTGTGAGTTTAAGCCACCAGGTCCGGGACTCGAACTGCGGTCAACTACATGGAAGTCCAACAACATGCTATTACGCTAACTGCTGATCCTGAAAAGGTACAATTCTTAAAATGTCTAAGGCACAACCTTCACATCTAATTGGAACAAATGATCTCGAGTTTTAACAAAGCCACTATTCGCATTTACTATAGCTTTATTTGTAAAAAAAAAAAAATAAGTAGCTTTTTAAATCTTTTCCTAAAGCTTTTATAGGAATACCGTAGTCCCCTTATGTCTAAAAGATAGACAATTTTCTGTGCACCCAAATGAACCAGGGCTGGGTTGTTCCTGTTGTCTTTACGCTTAATTGTTTTCTTACAGTGTGTATGGCAACTCCTGGTTATGAGTCTCTGGTCTATATATGTGTATATATGTTTAATGTTGAAATAAAAAGAACAACTGCAAAGTAAAATTTATAAAGCAGCTTGAAACTCTTGCCAGGCACATGTGTGTGCATGCCCCAAATCCCAAAATCTCCCAGAGAATGGAGGAGAAGGAATATGACATGGCCATCTCCCTTGGGGGATGATTTCTCAATTTCCCTCTGTCTCTCTTTCTTTCTGGTGAGTGCATGCGCCCTGTAGCAAAAACCTCTCTAAAAAAAAAAAAGGCAGTTGGATGTGTGTGTGCATGCCCCAAATCCCAAGAAGACAATGGAGGAGAAGGGACTGTGTGTGGTCATGTTGCCAGGGGGTGCTTTTTCACTTTCCCTCTGTTTCCAGTGAGTACATGCTCCACATAGCAAATAAAAAAAATAAATTTTAAAAAACGCTATCACAAAATAAGGCTCATACCTTGTGGTTTGCAGTCAGACCTATCAGCAAGCGGCAGGGCCAGATGGAAATGGTATGTCTGCTGACCCTGAAAACGCTAGGGCTTTTTTACTCGTAAAAGGATTATAGTACATCCAAGTTCTGCAAGAGTTTGCACTGGACAAAGATGTCGGAAGAGGGTCTGGTGAGGTGGGAAGGAGTGAGTGAAAGTCCATTAGCAGAAGCTGTCTGCAATAGCTTATTGGCATTAATGGTGGTGGTCCTTTGAGCAGGACGTGTTACCAGCCTAAGGGAGATGGCACACCTGGAATGATCTTGAGAAAGAATGTCTTGTGACAGTCCCGCAGTCAGCAGGAGTAACATAGCCAGTAGGCAGGCTGGGGGCATCTCCTCTTTCTCTTAGTTCTCCCGCCCTTACTTACTTTTATTTTATATAGCAATCATTTTCTAGATAAACTTGTTCTTTTTAAAGTGATTATTTTATTTAACTTTATTTATTTTAATTTGACCAGAAAGGGACAGAGTAAGAGAGTGAGAGAGGGAGAGTGAGAAACCAAGCCGCACGGTTGGCCATGTGGGAGTCCAGCGCCCTTTAACCACCATGCCACCTGCCAGCCCCATTTTCTAGATAAACTTTAATTTGAGTCGGTCTGATACAGAAGGC